ACACACACACACACACACACAACCACCACCATCACTAACACCACAACAACAACAGCAGCAGCTTTGCGTCCCGTCATCTTTTCTCTTACCGTTTTTCCGTCTCGGGTTGGCTTGTTTTCGCCTCTTACACCTGGGGCCATCCGCCATGATCTCCTGCTTCATTGATAAGTGTGTGTGTGGGATCAGATGGCAGCTCGCATGGACTCGATTCCTTGATTTCAGCTTGAGATCTGAAAACACACACAGACACACACACCAGCACCAACAATGTGAGTTGGGGTGAAGGGAAGGAGGAGGTAGTGGTGGTGGTGGTGGTGAAGTAGTAGAAGGGGGAGGAGGAGGGGTGTGAGAGTGATCCACATCCACTTGCGCCCCGGACGAGAAGCTGAAAATGCGTGTTGGATCGGAGGGACAGATCGTTTCAAAGAGAGAGAGGAGGAAAGAAAAAATGGGAGAAATAGGGGAAAGGAAGGAGAGGAGAGGAGCGGTGAGGTGGAGGGTGGGGGGGAGATCCGTGTCCGTCTAATTTAGATTTTCAGCTGATCGGCTCAGAGATCAGGGCTGAGGACGAGAAGCGGAATTCTTCTTATTTAAAATCAGGAAAGTTTCACAGCCCGCTCTCTACCCCCTCCTCTCCGATGTAAGCAAAATATTTAAAAAAAAATCCACTTCTTTTAATTAAACTTCAAAACAATAATTTTTTAGTTTTTTGCGCTTTTTTAGGGAGAACAAACTCACATTTCAGTCACTCTGTTCTTTTAAAAACGGAGGGCTTTCCCTGGGATTTAAAAGTCACGCAACACCCGATAAACACTTGAGCAAAAATTGCTCTTTCAGGTTTAATAAAGTGAATCCAAACTCTGCTAATAAATAACAGATGGACGGGGGGGGGGGAGATAATTGTTCAAATGTGCCAAAAGAAGAAGAACAAGAAAGAGGAGAGAGGAAAGAAAGCTTTAAGGCACAAATGGCGCATAAACATAAAAGTAGAAGAAGCGATTAGAGCCAAATTGCGCGTTTCGCCTGCGAATCTATCAGCGCAAATCGCCGTTACTGGGAGAAGTGGGTATTGGAGTGGAGAGCTGAGTGAGCGAGCGAGTGGGAGAAATGGTTCAAATAAGATCCAGAACGAGAGGAAATAAATAAATGAATAAAAAAAACAAAGACACCCGTACGGAATCGCCTTTTTTTTCTCCGGGTCTCCGGGGCTGTGCGGCGACAGACGCCCGACAAAAAGCAGCTTCTCCCCGACTGTCACAACCCCGCAGGACGCCTCTACAGGACACCGCGGAGGGAGACGGCGAGCAGAGCGCAGGGAGGCGTGTGTCTGCGTGTGTGTGTGGGAAAAATGTAAAAAGCGGATGGATTTTTTTTTCCTTTAAAGAAAATAAAATAAATAATTTTTTTAAACCCAAGCGCACCTTTCTCCACCTGCGCAGGTAAGTCGAAGTTTCGGAGCTCCCAAACTCTGGCGC